GGGGTGGAGGGTTTCTTCTCGCAGTAAAAAAAAAACTTTACAATCGTATGCCATCAAAGTACACTCTAACATAGAAATTATCTGGTTAGCATGCTTAACAAAGTCCTCCGCCACAGTGCTCATCGGAAATTGTTACCGACCTCCTGACTGTAAACATTCATTTTTGGAAGAACTGCGCAGTAGCATCACTGAGGCCATCCATCTCTGCCATACCGATTCCATATTCATCTTTGGTGATTTCAATTTTCCCGCGATTGACTGGAACCAGTTGTCTTCCCTTTGCCGCATGTCTACAGAATTTATCAACCTAACCTTAGACTTTAACTTATCGCAAATGGTGAATCAGCCCACTCGTGGTTCAAACATCCTCGACCTAATTCTCACCTCTGCTCCTGAAACAGTAAACACCATGCTGAACATAGATGGATTCAGCGATCATTGTCTTCTTCAAGTAACCCTTAACATTCAACCACCTCTCTCTGGCATTGAACATAAAAAAATCCGCGATTACAATAAAGCTAACTACAGCAAAATCAACTCCGAACTAGAAACCTTCTACAATGGCATATTCCTGCCATCCTCTTCCAGTCGTGACGTCAATGATAACTGGATGCTGTACAGAGACAAATTATGCGCACTGGCAAACTGGTATATTCCACTTGTTTCGGTCAAAAATGATAAAACTAGCCCCTGGTTTACTAAATCCATCCGGCAGCTCAGAAATAAAGAGAAGCGTCTATACCGCGCGGCTAAACGACTTGGTACGTCCTCTGCATGGGAGGCGTACAAAATCGTTCTGAAAATATACTGTTCCACAATTAAATCAGCTAAACAAAAGTATTTCTCTAATGATTTGCCTTCCCTTCTGAAATCAAATCCTAGAAGATTCTGGAATCAAATATCTGCGGAACACGATGTTAAACAGATTTCTTTGCTAGATGATCACCATGCTCCCCTCTCAGATAGTCATTGCACCTCAGCATTTAACACCTTCTTTTCATCCATTTTCACCCAGGAAGACCACGCCGACGTTCCGAACGTTCCCGATCTCAATATAGATTATATGCAACCTATTGAAATAACGCCTGAGGGTATCGCACTTCTTGTCACTAATCTTAAACTATCTACTTCAGCTGGCATTGACGGTATAAATTCCAAACTTCTGAAAAACACCCTTTCTGTTTCTGTTAATATCCTGTATCACCTTTTCAGACAATCTTTTGCAACAGGCCAGCTTCCCATTGACTGGAAGATTGGTAAAATAGTCCCTGTGTTTAAAGCCGGCGATAAACATTCACCCGAAAGTTATCGCCCCATCTCTCTCACGTGCATCTGCTGCAAACTCCTGGAACATATAATCGCTTCTCATGTTTCCAGGCACTTAGAATCTAACCATTACTTTTTTATCAACCAATATGGATTTAGAAAAGGTTTTTCGTGCGAAACACAGCTGCTGGAATTTACGTCAGAACTACATTGCAACATGAACAATAACCTTCAGACTGACTGCATTTTTCTCGATTTTTCAAAAGCATTTGATCGTGTACCCCACTGTCGTCTGATTTCTAACTTATCTTCACTCCGATTAGATTCGCTCACTTTATCTTGGCTTCGAAACTTTCCTTCACTCCACCAGCAGTTCACGGTAATAAACAATATCCAATCCCCTCTTTCCAACGTAACCTCAGGTGTACCGCAGGGGTGCGTCCTCGGCCCCCTGCTGTTCTTAATTTATATTAACGATTTGCCAATCAGCACCTCATCTTACATGCGAATTTTCGCCGATGATTGCATTATATATCGCTCAATAACCTGTACCGATGATCACCTAACACTGCAAAGTGACCTCAACAAGATTAATGACTGGTGCAAAAAATGGCTTATGTTGCTAAACAAGCAGAAGTGCAAAATTATGTGTTTTACACGCAACCAACATATTTCTAGCCATTCGTACATAATTGATGACTACCCTCTGTCGCACGCATCATCCTACAAGTACCTCGGTATTCATTTCACACCAAATCTTTCTTGGTCACACCATATCACCACCATTTGTGCGAAAGCTTCAAAATCATTGGTTTACTTACGCCGCAACTTGCATAGCTGTCCATCCCATGTTCGGCAGCTAGCTTATCAGACCTTCGTTCGCCCACAACTTGAATTCGCCGCATCGATCTGGTCCCCATACCAAAATTACTTAATCAACATGCTTGAAGCTATTCAAAATAGGGCAGCCCGATTTATCTCACGAAATTACGACTACCATAGCAGCATAACGGAAATTAAACTTTGCCTTTCTCTTCAACTGCTGAGTACTCGGCGGGATATTTCTCTCCTATGCCTCTTCCATAAGTATGTTTACAGTAGCAAAGCATTCCCATTTCAACTTGATAATCCTTGCGTTACATATCGTAGGCTGCATAATAACTTAAGTTTCATGCAATTATATGGGTCAACGGACGCCTTTAACTCATCGGCTCTTCCTCGTGTCATCTGCTTGTGGAATGATCTCTTGAATGACATTGCATATCAATCAGACCCCGAAAAATTCAGACAACTTCTTCACTCTTTCTTTCAGTCATAGACACTTCGATTGTTTCCTTTTTACAAGTATTTGTTGCACCTCCTGTATCGTTCCAATGTAATTATATTCATTCGTTTTTTTTTCCATTTCCTCCCGCTTACAGCTTAGGGCCTTGTGTTCGTTCAGTAAAGAGCACGCGCTCTTCTTTCTTTCTTTTTTTCGCTTCACACTTTGTGACCGCCTGCATTTTCCTACTTTATAATGTTCTTATACACACGAGAAAAACTCTCTTATCGCCCTTTATTATCCTGCATTTCTTAAACAAGAACAAATTGCTTTCTGCGCGCTGCTCTAAAATATTTTTGGCTACGTGTGTGCTAGGTGTTTTTTAGTAAGTGTATTGCGGATATTTGTTCTCCTCCCACCAGCAATGTTCCGATGTGTAACTTCAAATGACGTTTTGTACATTGTCTCTTTAGTGACATATAACGCGTTATTTTTTGTTGAGTTCTTTCAAAGTTTGATGTTTCCTTACGGTTTTGTCGCGACACTCACCCTTTGTAACCCCCCTTACACAATGCCCTGCAACAAGGGCCTGTAAGGTATTTTTAAATAAATAAATAAATAAATAAATAATCTGAAATGTTCACAAAGTGGGCGTAATCTTAACCAAACAATCTACTGCAGCCTCGAAGCTTCCGAACATCGTAGACGTGGTTTGCACTGAACGTGGTGTAACGGGGTGATAATGAAACTTGGGGAAAGGAACATGGCAATATCAATGAAGTATTGCAACAGAACGGTTATATGCGTCAAAATTAGTGTCATTGTTCGGGAACTGCTTCCTTTGTAGCGCAGAAGCATGGAAATTCAGAGTATTGTGGCTTTTTGGGGGAGCGTATATTCATTCTGAGTTCAACACCCACTAGAGTTTTATATATATTGATATAAGAGGACTTGCACACTGTTTATTGGTGTTTGACGGCTATGGCATTGCTTAACGATGATGCATCCATGCTGACACTTTGTCATACATATACATCTCGGCGGCTAACATCCATCATTAATAATGAAACAAACTCTTGAGTTGTTACATTCTTCTGGTACCAACCGTTGAGGAAGCTGATTGGAGATGACATGGTCATAGTGCCTTACTGCAGTTTCACCAAAAACGCTGAGAGAGAAGAATGGTAGATATAAAAAAAGCATCTTTTTCAAAACGTGTAAGGTATGTGACTAGGACGCAATAAATAGCGTGCCCGGCATTTATTGTCTCAGACCCACAGGTAATTGGTTCAACTCCCGTTCACGAAACTTTTGTTTTTTGGTCGTGCGTATTTCTTCAACATCAATTCTCTGATGAAAATAAGTCACTGAAATCTTGGTGCACCCCAGCATAAAACACTATAGTGTTGAAATGCAGTCAGCAAGGCATGAGTGGTGAAGTATTTGGTGTAATTTTTAAGGAAAAGAAAATAATTGAGACTCACAAGGTAAAGTCCGGTGGAATCGTTGTTGTGCAGTAGTAAAAATCGAGTTCAATTTGAGAAATTTCACCTGATGAGCAAAAATCACACATTCGAGCAGTTTACAGCTCTTTGTCTACGTTCATTCGCACTGTTCAAACTAAAAGTGTCATCGTTACTTTGGAGGGTCCAAGGGTGCAGTAAGCAACGAACAAAGGCTTGAGCTCCAGCATAACTTCTTAAAGTCAGCTTCATTTGACCCCCCTATTCAGGGTGTTCCACATAACATGAGCCAAGAATCTGAAAGTGAAAGTCACTTAGGAGGCGAATTGAACCAAACGCATACTACTCGCACCAGCCTGTAAGTACTCAGGCTATCTTTTTATTTCTCCCCTTACTATATAATTATTAATTCTTCATTACCTATATTTTTAAATATAGCCTGGAAACACAAATTGTGAACCTTGAGATGTAGAGCACTTTCAGAAACTAGCGACGAAATTGTTTCTTGTAGAATACGTCTCGCGCTGTTATTTTTTGCACGTTGTAAAGAAAGCCCACGAAATGTGAAAAGAAGCCGTGTGACGGACCGCGGGTGCACTGCTATAGTGCTGCTATAGGCTTTCCTTACAACGCGGAAAAAACAACCCCGCTAGACGTATCGTACAGGAAATAATTTAATCGGTGGTTTCTGAAAGTGCTCTACATCTCAGTGCTCACATTTTGGGTTTCCAACCCGTAAATAAAAAATAGGTAATCAATAATTCTTAGTTTTTTGGTACAGGGAGAAATAAAAAATTGCCTGAGTACCCACAGGATAGTGCAAGAATTACGCGTTTGCTTCGATTCGCCACTGAAGTGTGTCATTTTGAAATTCTTGACTCAAGTTATGTGGGATGTCCCACTGCATCAAACTGAGCCTAAGTCGATAACCTAATAGAAGTGCGACATCTGTAAAAGTGATTTTGTTTTGAGTCTCATTTGAAGCCTTCGATATTCTTCTCCCGCAGAGCATGTCGGACATCAAGGGAAGCGAAGTGCCTGTTGAGGCTGAAGAAACTCGCAGCACTGGCTCAGTCAAGAGCCACGTCTATTGGAGCTACATGCGTGCAGGGGCTGGTCCACTGCTGATGCCGCTACTCTTCGTGAGCAGCATCCTAGCGCAAGCTATCTTCAACGGCAGCGACTTCTGGCTTACTTACTGGTAACCACATCTTTTCCAACTTGTCGTTCAACCTGCAATTTAATTACGCTTACTTTAGTCCACTGAAATGGAACGGTGGCAGCACGGTTTCATGGATTCAGAAAACTAGGGCACTGGGTTTTCATACGCACGGGAATGCTGGGACATGCCCCATTCGGACTTCGTTTGGATTTAAATCGTTCATAAACAGCGAGGACGCCAAAGACGCGTCTGAATGGAACTCGTTGCTTACGTCAAACTGACTGATTATGTTTTGCAAGAGCACGTAGTTGGCTATTCCTCCCTCATCATTCAATACATAAAAGTTTAATTCAGGATTTGGAAACTTCTACGCAGACGCACAATTTTACAAAGTGTAAAGAGTAATGAACGGGCGCTGAAATTGGAAGACTGAATAGCGGGTAACAACAGGACACCCAGGTGCCAAGGAACGAGGAACTCTTGTGAGACTCCTTTTGTAAAAGAACACAGGGTTTATTGACATATTTACAGATGTGACCCAACTAGGCGCACAGACGCGCCTTTATCGGATACATGAGAGGGCCAGCAAAGGCCAGAAAAAGAGAGCCCCTAGCGCACACGCCACGCTCCTTTTATATTCTCCGGTCCATGCACGCGCTTCATGGAAAACACCGACTGTGTGTCCCAGCGACACTGATGCGCGTTCCCTACACTACACGTGGACGCCAGTTGCATTTCTGCTCGACGGACCACATGTGGACTGCACGCCGATGAGCGTTTGTTCCAGGCTGGATCTATGCATTGCCAGTCATATGAGAAGGTAGACGACAATGCCAGCCTTCACTGATGTGACTGTCATCTGTTCCCTTCGCCGTTTAGTTAGGGCGTACACGGAGAACAGTCTCTTGTTGGGCCTGTCGGGGCATAGCTTAGATGGTGACGATGAAGATGATATGTGGTGTTTAACGTCCCAAAACCACCATATGATTATCAGAAACACCGTAGTGGAGGCCTCCGGAAATTTCCGCCACCTGGGGTTCTTTAACGTGCACCCTAATCTGAGCACTGATGTGACCGGGGGTCTTTCCAGAGGACCGGAGCAAACCAAAGTCTTGGGGAGATGTCGAGGAGAGCAGCCCGGAGCTGTTAACAGTAAATTTTATTTACAATATTTACAGGTAGTGTGTTACATGATGGTGGTAGCATCATGGAAGCTCTCGACAGAAGCATGATGGGAGCTTCTGCGAGCTTGTGAGAGCCTGTCGGGAGCACCTCGGTGCTCGCGTTTTATGTGCTGGCCTTCCCAGAATTCCCAGCATGAAAAACAATGGAAGCCACAACACTCCAATGAAGATTGCCATATTTACCTCCGCCCTCGAAAGGGGAAGATGAAACGAAGCCTCCTTTCTGACCAAGAAAAGAGGGAAGAAGTACACCCAGTTCAGCCCATGGCGAGGGACAAAACACTGCACACCGCCCCCGACACAGCACAGCACGAAGACGAAGAGTGTTACGTGGAAGTCACTTTCGTAGTTTGCTGCAGTGATGGGTATGTGGCACCAGGCAGACCACCAATTGTGGAAACAGCGGCACCAACGCGCCACGGAGAACGTGGGAAAGGCATCCGCAGGCGGTTCTGAGACAATGGGCCCTTTTCCCGGAGCACCTAGACGACAAATCAAGCCGCCGCGACCGCCAACAACTCTTCCTAATCCGTCAGTCAGTTAGGCGTGTCCACAGGGTTTACGAGAGGCGCCGGCGACCTGGGATAACTAGAAGAATTATTTCTCTGTTGTCGCCGCTCTTGGTGCATCTCTGGGAGCGCTAACTTGGAAGAAATCCAGGTAGGCTCCGCTGCAATGTCTCAGACGACAAAGCGGCGTCAAGCCAGGCAGGCAGATCATAACAGCCTGTCCACCACCACAGAAGGTCTGGAAGGGGTTGCAGCACAAAAGTACTCTGCAGAGACAGTATATTTGCTTCCTTGTAGGCGTTGACACAGGCTGTACCAATCTCTGAACCTGAGCCATGGCTAGCAAACGCCCGAAACAGACCACGTAAGACCCGAGGCAAAACAAACAGAGAGCATTCAACTGACCCCGAGAAATGCCTGGTTACAGCTCTGGTAAAACTCCCTAGAAATTCAGAATTGGTGCGCTCACTTGTAAAAATCAAGAATCAGATAATGAAGCCATAACAAACTCAGACCTACTACGTGTGAAGGAAATCAACAACCTAACGTTTTGTATTATTTTCCAGAGAGATTCACAGCGTTTAAGGCACGCAGGTGCTACGGGAGAAACAAAACAAAAAGAGGTAGTTAATGAATTGCGCTTCTCACTACATAAGTAAAACTCTAAATCAAACTGGCGCGTATATCATAAAAGAAATAGAATAAAAAACCTGCACTGCTTTGCAAAACCAAAGGCTCAAACAGAGGCCTTTTACCTTCAGCCTAATTCTTCGTTACAATCAACTTGCGCAAAACCCTCTACTCAGGTGTTAGGTTTCGCTAATTATAAGGAAACAAACAGTTTAACAAGTATCTTAATGTCTGCCGTTATGATGAGGAGGAAAAATAAAACATTCAAAAATCGGCATGCTCCTTGCTCATCGGCAGACATGCAAACAATAAAAGTAAGACAATTCAAAAACTGGATACAAGTCTTAGTACCATTACTCTGTCCCGAAAATTAAGCGGCACCCTTTCAGACGGGCTCTGAGGGGACGATCATACCGCAGTTTTCGAGACTCCAGATCGCAATGAAGCGACAAACATCCAGCCTATCCGAAACTACCGAAGCACTCAGTGGCAGTGACCTTTGTTCTGCAGCCCCCAAAATCGGACAAAGAGGTATACGGACGCTTTAGCTTCCCCATTGTAGGCCTCCGAGAGCAGTGGTCACCTTTTCTCGAAAGTGGGGGACAGCTTCTGTCGTTCCCGAGAACGCGCCTCGTTGTTCTTCTCGGCTGTCTATCTTGCGCTGAAGGCGATGAGACCAGGCGGCACCTTCAACTTCTGTGTTTCTTCGCCTTTGTGACACGCTTCATGTTCAATTTATATTTCAGGGGGGCCGTCAACTTTTGGTTTCCAGCCCGCTTTCGCGGAATTTCTGGCTTCCGCTTGAAACAACTTCGACCTTTCGCGTTCCCTCTACATTTTCACCGGCGTCTTCTTTCGGGGCGGCACGGAAAGCTCACAGACTCGACAATAATACTCGGAAGTACATTGCTCTAAACTCGAGACGTCTCAACTGGCTTAACCTCGGCGTCATTTCCAACCGTCTGCACTTTCAAAATGAGGGTACAATTTACTCTTTCGAATCCACACGACTTGCCATCAGATGTATCTCCTTGATGAGAGTCGTCACCTCACGCTTATCTAAGCGCTTCATCATCTCGCACTATTCTAAGCGCATCATCCTTTCGCGCTATGCTAAGCGCCTGTCCCTCGCGTGCTAAGCTATACGCTCATCACTTACACTGTTACTGTCTACTTGCTTTTCATTAGCGCTTTCTGCTTCTGACATATGATGAGTGAACTCCCAGGCCATCTGACGCGTCAGAGCTGCTGCCGATTCAATTCGTCACCAAAACAAAGACCTTTCAAATGCATATCCACGTCGTTCTGAGAGGGATAATGCTCGAGCAGGTTTGGGTGGTGATGGTAGTGGTTATAAGGAAGAGGAAAAAGGCACCTAATTTCTGTCTGCCTATAGGCGACACGGCGCAGTGCCTTACAGGGGTGGGGGTTAGGAAGGATCAAAAGAATAGAAGGAAATAGATGAAGAAATAGAGAGGCAAGCGACGGAAAATAGAAGGATATAGGAAAGTGGGGATCCGGTCGAAGCAGTCCAAGGGCGGGGCACCACAATGCGAGAGCTGCTCGGCGTCAGGAAACCGCAGAGGGCGAACCAGTCGGCGAGAGCTACGCTGTCGTCGGAGATCACGAGGGCACGACCGTCCAGCTTGAAATACTGCGAGCAAATCTCCAGGTTTTGGGACACCACAGTTTTCGTTGCGAGCAGTCTTAATGGTCCCTCACTCTCAATGCAGGCTGAAGGCAAACACACACTTTCCTTATCAACTGCTTGCCGTTTGCACGTGCGTTCCCCTGTAGTCACCTCAATTTTCACGCAGAAGGGATGTACAGCATCAAGTACTGCGGCTGAAACCCACGGTTCGTTTTCCTTAACTAATTCCTGAATATGGAGTTTCAATTGCTCCTGATTGCTGTCGCTGCTGTCCATCAAAATAACAACCCTATTAAGCTTACGGCAGCCGATCGCATTGTGACTAGCCTCTTGGCAACGGTGGCTTATGACCGGCCTCCTAGCCTCAAAGGCCTTTTGTTTGTCTGCAGCCGCGGACTTTGCAGGACTATTTTCCCCTTCTTCTGTGAGGATGCTATCCCGTTATTCGGGTAACTTGATGCCGGATAAAGTGCTAAAGCCAATCGCTTTTTCTCATTTATCCTGTCTTCTTCAGCCCATCTGTTGTGTTTTTAAACCTCCTCCCAGCTTTCCTCAATTTCGTCATCCTCCGGCCCGCATTCCTGAATAGCCTTAATCAGCTGCGACTCTCTCTCTTCTGTCCCCACCTTAATTCCCAGCTCTTCACAAACCAGCAACAGTTCTGGTTTCTCTAGCTTCGTTACCAAATATATGGTATTCACGAGTGAAAAATTTCTTACCCACCGTGACGTTAGGTAGGGAACAAGCGAAGCCTACAAGCACGGTAAAAACACTGCCAGTTTCGAACATGAAGGCTAAAATTTCGTGAATAGCTGTGACGTATGGTAGCATTACAACAAAGCCTACACGCACAGAAGATTACACACAAATAAAGAAAACGTCAAAAGCTAAAACTTGGCAATAATCAAAAAAAAAACAAGCACTCACCATATTGTTGAAGCCCGAGCCAAACATGGGTCATCTCGTTGCTGCTAATAGTTGATTTGTTCCGGTTGTCTTTAGCATCACACCGTTGCCATCCAGTTGATGTACCCGGGGGTCTGCCCAGAGGACCGAATCCAGCCA